TGCAGGGGGGAGGGCGCAGCGCCTCCCCCCGCGAAGCGTTCACAGAAGCCGGGTCACCGGAAAGCTTCCCAGACGCAAGATAAAACCCGGCGTTCACAGAAGCCGGGTCACCGGAAAGCTTCCCAGATGCAAAAGCAAACCCGCTAGATAACATGTCCACAGCCTAACCGCCGCGTCAACCCAAACTCTACCAAGACGCACGATCAGATGTCTACATGTGAACGCTTCGCGGGGGGAGGTTGAAAAAATAGGTTAGGGGGTTGAAAAAATTGGTTCGGGGGTTGATAAAATTGGTTAGGGGGTTTAAAAAGAAGGCCGGGGGGTTGGAAAAATATGGTCTGGGGGGTTGGAAAAATAGGTTTTCAACGGGGGTTGGAAAAATAGGGCGGAGGGGTTGAAAAAATAGGGGGGGTTGGAAAAATAGGGTGAGGGGGTTGAAAAAATAGGGAGCCCGTGGTCAAACCACGGACAGCGGAACAAAGGTCAAATGCTCCAACAAAAACGATGATGATGGGAAAAACCAGGGGGGGGTCCATTTCAAGTCGTGACCCAAAGTGGCCTCCACTAATTACTAAGTTCATAATAATTGCCGAAGAAAAAATTGAATCTAGGCGAGATCTTCTTGTTGTGTGGCATCATGGCATCATGAGAGATGTTTATATCTGTGTGTGAGCTCTAACGGGTGTTCAATCAACCTCAACCCCTTCCCCAAGTGAAGCTGTTGCTCAAACTCTTGGTAGCCTACCACCTGGCCTGGTAGTAGCCAGACCAAAAGCCATCGTAGCTCGGAAACTCTCCTGTTGGATGACCATATACCTCAGCAGTTCTCCCTTTGAGGTGAAGGAGTGCGGCAGCCTGGGGTCCAGTTTCTTGAGCAAATTCTGAACAGCAAACCGACAAATCAAATGAAACATGACCATCAGAGCATATTGGCATATAGGAACTGATAGGAACTGGCTCTTGCTACAAACCCTTTCTGATCTCCTTTGAAAGGACCCTGGGTTGGTGCTGATGGTCAATCCAGGAGAGAACAAAAGAGTCTGGTCTCTGTCATTCCTATCTGTACGTCGTCGCGTCTTGAAGCTTAGCTGGAGCTGGAGGGTGGTGTGCCTGCTCTGGTGGTGATATGAATGGTAGCACATTTGCCACCGTGCTTGGGACGCGTAAGACGACGGGTGTACACAATCAATGACTGGACTGGCAGAGGCTCCAGGGTTCCTGTACATCACATACCCCTAGGCTTCTAGAAAGACAAAAAGTAAACTTTTGAAAGGTGCTTCCTGTGCAGTTGAGAGTCTAGCAGTGGCGGGCACTGCTTCAGCCCATCCCTCTTGCAAAAGACGGAGAACGGCCGATCTGAGCGCTCTCGAGGATAGGCCAAGCCTCAATGTGAAAGCAGTTTCCAAGCTGTGACGTGGAACTGAAGAGAGGGTTATAGAAGGCTGAAGGCTCTTGTAGAAATGCTCTGCTCCGACACATCATTGACATACTCGGCCCGGCTCATACCTGACTCCTTCTCCCTCGAATTGGGAAGGCGTTTTACATGCCCTCCTGCCAATGTAAACTCCCTCATGCGCGTCCAAACTTCCACCGAGCAGCATGCTTGTAGGAACCTGGTGCCGTCAAGTGATGTACTCCAGCCATAGTGCGTATGTCCGAACACATGGAGATCCTTAGGACGCTCCCAGCGAGCTCGGGTATGTACCGTTTTAGTCGTGGGTTACATGGGAGCGACATGTGAGGTGTCTCCTTCGTGGCTGAAATCAGTGTGATGCATTTCGGTGAATTGCATGTGATAGACCAGCTTAGAGGCATATCATATATTCTACTAGCTAGTATATGGTACTGGATGATACTAGTCTTCCCATGGCAAGCCTCTTGCAGAGGCTTCAGCCGGCCTTTCCACTCATGTCACCACTTCTCACACACTTTTGCGCTCGCTGGTTGTCGTGTTGCTTGTGCGCGAAAAACACATCGCGCGTGAAACGCGTGGTCTCAGGATGGCTTGGACTCTGCAGGTCTCCTGGAAGACTTCAGGGTCTCCCGGATCATTGCAACCTGGAAGAAATGTGGACGCCGGGAACACAGCAACCCATGTTGGCCGGAAGGGCTTGTTGCCAACGTCTCCGGCTCCTTTGGATGTCCTCCATTCGACCCCAACGCAGGAAGGGCAGGCTCACCAAACCGAGCAAGCCCTAGGGCCCTAGGGCTTGCTGGGTCACCCAAGCGCACCCCAAAACACACCGATTTGGCGAATCCACCTCCACACGAGATCACACGATCCCGCGCCTGCGCATGTGATGGGCCCAAAGACCTCTCAGCAATCTGCAGGGCTCTCTTCAACGCGGTCTCCTGGGGCACTCCAACGAGGCGGCCACGGACGGGGTGTTCCCAAAAGAACTTTGAGGCAACATCATGTAAGGATGTGAAAGGCTACTGTTGCCTGATTGGCCTGGCAAAGGTCTCGGAATCTGTAGTAAAACCAGCCTATTCACAGCTCCAAGAACTGCAAGCAAGTCTCTGCAGCTGGAAATTGGCCCAGGCTTGCGCGACACAGACCGAGATTGTAGAGTGTCAGTGCCATGAAGGGCGTGTTGGGCGGTAAGAGTTCCAAGGCCTGCTCGTAATGTTCAGCCGCCTTCTGATAGGCCCCACGTGCAAAATACAAACCTGGGCGAGTGGATGACGCATCCGAAGCGGATGACGGGACGGATCGTAAGAGAGCCGGAAAAATCCGGCTCAACTCTGTAGAGAAGTTCCTCTAAAAATGTCTAGCAAAGCGCATTCAATATGGTCATGTCTGGATCATGAAAACTCTCAAACAAAACTATACCTGGACCTTCAAAGGGGTGTCCAATGGAGATCCCTAGGTAGTGTAGGGGGGTCCATATTGGTTTCCATTGGTGACCCCTTTGAAGGTGCTGGTATAGTTTAATGTTCTTTTCTTCGAATATCTAGGGTCGCCTTGCCAAAGAGTCGTTTGTATAGTGCGGATGCTACTGTCACTATTCATACATTTGTGTTGTCTCCTGCTTTGGCTCAGCTGCCGCCCAGATTGTTGAGGCACTCAGCCATGCTGGGATGATCCTTCCCCACGAGCTCCTTCCGCAGCTGCAAAGCCTCTTGATGCTGCATCTCGGCCTGACCAAATGCGAACATGGCCATGCCTTGAGCGCCATGTTCGCGCCAGGACAAAAAAGCACTGGGTAAAGCATATATTGACATGATGCCCATGTCTGTGACCATGCCTACACTTCTGTTAGGTTGCCTTCCGGCGAGCCCCCAGCCCCATCAAGCCTCCCCGGTTAACCAAGTGCATGGACCAAGTCGACCCAAGAAAAGTTTTGGAGCTCAACCACGAGGCATGACGATAGGCCCCAGTAAAGTAACAAAGTCCGTCACAGTGACTCTCACAGCAGCTACACCACACACCTCTTTGAATCCAGCATACTCTGGTGGCTGAACATCCAAACGTGGCTCGAACAATCACGTGACCGGGTCGAGACCTCCCATCTCCCGCCGGAGGGACCTCCTTCGGACGGCTGGAGTCGTTGTAGGCGACGCCCAGGCTACTGCAGACCTCGGATTTGATGAACCTTGGCAGCGGACGGAGGGGAGCTGGAGCTGGCCAGCTCAACATCGTCTTGATGAGCTGGGTGCGCAGGGTTTTCAACACAACTGCGCTAGAAAGGTGATTAGATGTGGTTTAAAAGCTGAGGTGCTGGTGTTTTGTTCTCCTCCTGGGTTCTCCGTGTGCTTGATCTCGTCTTGTGGCAATTCTGAAGTAACAGCAGCTGGTTTCAATATAAGGTGGCTGAGTATGGCCGAGTAACATGTCAGGTGGAATTAAGAGAAGCTCCATCGTTGCACATGCAGCATGCATGTTTCCCTCAAACATTCACAACCTGCCGAGCGACCTTGCGAGAGTCAGAGCCTTGCTGGTCTTCCCGTCTTGCTCACGAAGCGTGATGGCCTCCTGTAACCTGGGCAGCCCAGGAGTGAGAAAACGGTCAACATCGGTCCATGGCGGAATGACCACCGAAAATCAGTGGCTTCCACGATGAGAAACCTGTAGAAACCTTCACCTGTGCCTTTTTGTGCAGATTCCACAGCCCCAGCTTTCAACCAATGCTGGTCACGAATTCGTCAAGCTACAGCTCTTGAGCCTTCAGGTAGTGCTGGATCGCTTCCTCTGCATCGCCCAGGTGATGGTGCTGCCGTCCAACCTCGTGCAAGGTCTTCGCCAAGCCAAGGCCCGCAGCGGACTTGCGGATGGGGCTCTCCTGTCGCCGAACGTGCGCTTTCAGAGGGTGTCGGACGGATGGTGAGATGACAAGAGGTAACATTTGGCTAAAAGCATCATGATGAATCATGATCATGAGCCAAATTATGTTTTAAATCAATCAAAATCCCAAGAATCTTTGTGCATGGAACCGAGTGAAGTTTTCAAAGTCACCTAAACTACCCACACATGCTTCCATGACTCGTGTCAAGGTCGCTGGTGATGATCAAGCTACATCAGTCTGGTCTTGCTTCCATGACTCGTCTTTCCCAGACCCTTCTCCTCAGCCTGATACTCTGCTGATTGCATTTGGAGGGTCTCTTGCAAATATGCCAAGCCAGTGGCTGCGCGGCCCACATCGGAGCCCATCGTCTCCTTTGTTGCGCACCGGGTTGAATCGACGGGTCGCCAGGTGCGGGGCGAAGAATGCGGAGAAGCTCCACCACGGTCAGAGCATAGTTTACCACATGTTGACATGTTTGAAGACTAAATCAAAAATAAAACAATACTATACTGTACAATTATCTATTATCGTTCACTCATTCGCAACATATTGTAGCATCAGACAGCATCATACTAGCCATAAACTTCTCCTCATGCCTCATGTATGCGGACCCTGATAACCTGTGCGGACCCCTCAACAACTCCAAGACCTGGCAAAAGAACAAAGGAGGAAAGGATCTCTGCGTCTCTGCGTGCCCAGTTGCAAACTTGCCTAGGTTGATGTAGGTATTGGACCTCTGCGGCAGACTCGTCTCCTCCAAACAGTGGCGACTGGCGCGGAAGGAAAGGACGGAGGGTTAGGGCCGGGTACAGGTAGGGTGTACTGCAAGCAGTATGGCTCCAGGAATGAGATCCATACGACACGTGCCCCACGCTCTTAAGGATGAGATCTTTCCCAATGACGTGGGTGGTTCCCAAAGAATGCTTCTGCTTAAGACCAAGCCCTTTCGGGAGCAGCAAACCACTTCTTTGCCTGAAATGATTTCATCTGAGGTGGAAGTGTCGAAAGATGACGAATCCCTGCAAAGCTGCAAAGCTGCAAAGCCTACCAACTTCCATGTCCAAATCGCCTCTATAGGCTTGACTGATGAAAATTGTTCTAGCTCAAACAGAATGTCCAGAAAAGCTCCTGGGCTGTTGGGCGGTTCTTTCTGTCTCTCAATATTACCTCATCCTCCTATCTAAGATCTGGGCATTTCCTGATCCTCCCTGTTACCACACCAATCATTCTCCAAGCTGCCGAGGCCAATCTCAACATCCGCCCCAGGGCGCTCCGTGGCCGGGCCACGTGTCGCCACATGGCGCGGGAAACGGCGCGGCGCGGTGGCGCCCGTTGCGGTCCGAGATGGGGCGCCCGACTGGCGACCGAAGCCAAGAGATCCAAGAACTGGTTCCTTTGGTTGACATCACCCCCGCTTTTTGGCACTCAAATACGTCAATTCTGTGGTATTTTCGAACAAGAACAACTGGCTGCCGCCAAAGAACTGGCCGGCTTTGTTCCAGCCTTCGCTCCCATGTGGCTCGGCCAACTCCAGACAATTATACAAATATCACCGGAGTGCATGGTCTGAAGGATATGTATAATATTACTATAACATAGCTTCATGGCCGTCTGCTGACGAGTGTCACGGCCAGGAACTTGAGCCAAAGGTGCCGTGTTCGTGTCTTACATCCAGTGTTGTCTCCACCACATGTCATGTAAGACACAAACCTGATCACTTCTGATGTTTTCGTTCCCGGAGATTTCCCCATTCGTCCACAACCTCATCCCTAACGCCCCAACTACAGAACACAAGGATCGCACACTTTTGAAGTGCCACTTGGACTGGGAAGGTGCTCCCTGACACACTACCCTCCACTGATATGGCCCTAATCAGGCCAATCCAGCCATGCAAGTCAAGACTCCGGCGATAGTCGCTTGACACGCTCCCCAAGCAAGAGCGAGCCTACTGCCTTTGCGATGGGCGGGAAGTAGAGAAAGCCTCAAATCATTGGCACGTGGAGATCGTGGAGTGAACGATCTCAGCCACTTGAACGCCCAAGCCTCACCATCAACAGCTGTTGTATGCTTATCCGCTGTAGGCCCCACGTCTCTTCAGGTAACTACTGAACTTCATCCTTTTAGTGACACTGTCTCACTCATTTCCGTCACGGAACGCTTCTCTGGCAAAAGCTCTGCTCTTGGAAGAAAGTGAGAGAAGGAGATCACCTCAAACAAATGTGTCTTCCTTGATCTTCGGCATTTGCCTCCAACCTCTTTTGGAGCAAGGCATGGCAATGAGTTGAATCCAGTTCTGATTGGTGTGAAAAGCAATTTTCTTGCGGCCTCTGTAGATTTCATATTTCTCTGCCCACGATTTGCGGTAAGTAGAAAACTTTCAAAAGTATACAAAGTGTTCAGTGTATGTGCATCAACTCACCCACCATTGTTTTATCATGAGATCGTCCTGTGCACTACAAGTGAGAAGGTACATGTACGTATAGCACATGGTGCAGCAATCAAGTCCACCAAATGCTCAGATCAGGACAGCTGCTGGTCTCTCCTGGCGATATGATGCCAGTAAAGCCAACAGGCGGCCAACATACCGACAGCACCAAGAGCAGGCTGAGCTGCAAGACACAAAACCAAGGCTTACACAGGGTCAGACTCTCCATGACAAATCATGTGGATAGGGCGTGGTAGCGGGTCATGCTCTCAATCATTGTTTAGTCCTCCATGGCCTGGCCACCATCAGCTCATATCTCCAAATATCATCAGTCCAAGTGGTCCAAAAATGTCTTCATCGAAAACGTCAAAGGTCTTTGATTTGCCTTACAGTCCTCAGTCCGCCTACAGGGCCTACAGTAAGTCATCATGTAAGTCTCTCTCTCTCTCTCTCGCTGGACGGTCCGGTGTTCCAGGTGATCCGACGTGCTGTTGGCATGGCATCCCTCCCTCCAAACACGGAGCTGGAACATGGCCCAAACGGAAGACGGTTTTCCTCTACGAACTGGAGGTAAGATCTGATGTATATATATATTAATATACATATTATGTAGATATAGACATAGATCTGGTAGAAAAGGCGTGCCAAAAAAAAACACACAGATCTGGAGCTGTGGACACTACATCTCGGAACAAAAACTGGTCATCCCGGCCACGCCGGCCACGCCTGGTTAACCGCTGCTGTTCGTTGGTCATTGAGCTGGTCAAAGAAGGTGGCGATGGAATCGCTACCCGCCAAGGGAGTCAGCCCAGGAGGCCACTTGCACAGCATGAAATCAGACATCATCCTGGGGGCATGTTTGCAACTTAACATGCTATGGAAGCGTCAGTTTTGGGAGACATGTCCTGCTAAGTCAGACATGTTTTTAGTCATCTTGGGGCATGTTTGGTCCTGATGGCACTGATTCTGCGCATGCCCACCGGGATTGTTGTACTAGAAGCAGCCTAAATTACACATAGATCCAAAGCGCAGTCAGGTGGTGTGCAAATGTAGCGCAACCTCGAGTTGATACGGGTTGATACCATTCATCTACCACTCATCTTGCCGATGTGGTACCACAACGACCCAACAAACCATTGGAAGGACCGACGCTCTTTGGATCGAGGGAGCGGAACTCAGGCAGGAACGACGCACGCCTGTTGGGCCAAGGTTCTTCTCAACAGGCACCAGGGTGTCATCCTGAATGTCCTTGGCTTCGATTCAGTCCAAGGACTTCTGTGGCATGAGAAAAGGCATGCGGCTTGCTTTTACTTGGCTGGCTCTTTGGAATATCCCACACCTTTAAGTTCATGTTGGTGCAAAAGGGGCAGCTGATGGCAGTTGGCTCCTCTGAATAAATACAGGGCTAACAGGTCCAAATTCCCAAGCGGCGGGTTCTTTGTCGAAGCTCGAGTGATACCAAGAGAGCAACGGGACAATCAGCACCTGTCAGGGCACACCAAGCAAGTTTGAGGTTGGACGACATGTCAAGTTCTGGTCCATCGCCTGTGATCTCACTACACTCTGACTCACCAACATGGAAGTGGAAAATGGCGCCCTTGGAAGACTACTTTCCTTTACAAACAAAGGATTGTCCACTTCCATGTTAGTGAGCCAGAGTGTACCAAGACGCTCCGATACTCTCTGAAAAACGAAGTCCTGCGCGCCTGGCCTTGCCCACGTAGCTAGGCTGTGTCTTCACGCCCAGCTCCTTGTCAAAGATACTAGCGTTCTTGTTCCTAGTAGAAATGCCAGGAGCTACTGGTAGCGTTCTTGCTCCTAGTAGCGATGCCCTTTGTTCCTAGTAGCTTCCTTGTCAAAGGAACACGTTGTCACGATGCAAAGCTGAATTCCGACTCCAGAAGTGGCACCCTGCCGATGAAAAACCCAAGGAGGTGATGATCTGACTGACAGCACAAGTTGCCACAAGTTGCCGCTTCTTGGATGATTGGAAACTGCTCCAGAATCGCTGCTTACGCAAAGCAGCTGAAACCATGGTCCTGGCAAAGTCCTTCCAGCTTCCTCAGCGTCAAGCAGGTAAAAGCTGTGTTTCTATTGAACCATATTGGACCTTTTATCTGAAATGGGACACAAAACATGTTCCACCACCGAGTACGTGTGCGCTTCTACCAAAGACCCCTACACCCCACCAAGGGCAGACCGAACCAAGTCCAAGCCAAAGCAGCTGAAACTAAAGACTAGAAACACAACAATCTGGGCTACTAGCTACAGTTGTAGCATGCTTCCCTCAAACTGAGGGCTCAATCCACACATCCTGGATCACGGGCATACAAACAAAAGCAGGATAAACACATATAGACACGAATGCTCAATGCAGGCCAAAGCTTCCAAAACTTTTCCACTGAATCTTTGCAACCATCCTGCAGGCTGATGCGAACATATTGGTGATTGGAAGGAAGGTCCACCCACAGAGTCTCGCGATGTCTCGTGCTCTTCGTTCTTGCGGGACAAAGGAAGGGGGATTCAGCTTGACTCCGAGCGGACCTTGACCATCCTTGACATTAAAGGGTGTAACAGCGTCCTGTTCGTGAAATCGTTCGAACCAATTCGCCCAGAGTCCACCCTTCCCTGGTTTCAAGCGCCCTTCGCTTCGAGGCCGCCTGCCTTTGGGTGAAGCCAAAGATCATGGTTTCCTGCACTTCCAAGGTGGGGGGGGAAGTGCAGAAAATCATCCAAGCCTAGCTTTTTGGTGAAGTTAGACTGTCCTGGGCAGAAGAAAACATGCCCAAAGCCTCGGCAAGCAGGCGAAATCGGAATCGAAGCCGACCCAACAAAGCAAATGGTGTGTTGACTTTCAGTGACATGCATGCTCTGCATGCCGATGTATCAGTTGATCTAAAATCACCACTCCAACGCCCGAACCAAAGAATAGAGTTTCTGGTGCACAACTCCAACGCCAACAGGACCCCGGAATTTAGCTGTTTAGCTCTTCTTTTCCAATACCAACCTGGAGACCAACATGGACCCTGGAATGCCCTGGGCTTTAGACTTGTAGAGGGCACTGGTTTTCTAAGGGCCCCATGTTCAGGGTCCATGTTGATCTGCATGTCTTTCTGGCCAATTTCTGGCCAGCAGCGTTCAAGGAGCAGCTCCAAGGTGGTTCTTACCACACTCAAGTCATTGGAGACATCACCTGGCTCAGTTGATCACAGTTCTCAGGGGGAGTGGGCCTGGCCTATGGTATCATACGGGGACAAAGCTTTTACCAAGTCAGGGTCACGGGCCGGCCGCAGGCCTGCAAGCAAGAGTACATCTCTGGGTCTTGCTGGCCAAGTCCGGAGCAAGTCCATGTTCTCCCTTGGCCAGCGCGCTGGAAGGCGAGATGCAGCTGAACATTGTGAGACTGCTGATGGCATTGTTCTAGTTTCCAGGTCCTAACATGTCCTAACCAGGCTTCGGATCCATCAACAGTATATAGCTTACCCTCTGAATCACCCGGTGCTGACTGCTTCTTCACCCAATGCGACGAGGTGCCGCTTGTCCGTGTGCACATCGGACACGGCATAGATCCCAAAGCCTTCCTCGACCTCCACGGAGCTCACTTCGACGGGTATGGCGGAGTCACGCTGCTCACGTTGTTCCAACTTGTCGAAGTCAAACATTGCACCAAGAAGGTCTGCGTGGTTAAGGTGCCTGACACCCAGTAGCTCAAAACAGATCAAAATGTGCACGTGGCTCTACGCGGCTAAGGTGCAACTGGTTACGTTCAGCTACTCCACTACTCCTTCAAAGTTAGCTGCCTCAATCAAAACCAGCACTCGACATGTTCTCATTAAGCATCTGTGGAGGGCTAGGTGCAACCAATTTTAAGCAGATAATGAATCCAGCATTTGAAGCCACTATTATAAATGCTTGAATAGTTATTCTGTTTGGTCGTGAGCTTGGCTTTGGCAAACCTGTGCTGATACGAAACCATCACAAACCTTAAGAGTTGCCACCATTTATCGAAGAAAAGGAATTTCACATGCCTTCACATCACGACAGTCCAAATCTGACGTCTCCAGTCTGTCTGCTTCTGTCTGCTCTGAATCTTCCTGGCACAAGAGGTCGGAGTCACGTCCAAGCACTTTCTTGAGACGAGTTTCTCCAGCAAAGACTGCAGGCACTACAGCCATGGGCTACTGAAGGCAATGTGGAGGCAACTCTAGGCAACTCTACACATGGGGGTTCTGTCTCCTTCGTTTGGGATGCAGAATAGCCATGACGCGTTTTTCTTGGACACGAGTTGGAAGGTAGCGGATCAATCGAAGATCAATCGAAGCATGGGGACTTGCTCGGTGCTTTTAGCTACCTTGAGCATGTCTGAGTTTCCACGCTTCAAAGGTCGTGTGGTTTTGTTATGTTTTGTTGTTGTTTTCCTGGCTCAATTGAGCATATGCGAGTGCTTCCGAGTGATTTCTTGAGTCTTCATCCAAGTGCTGCGCAAATGTTCATCCTGCATCGGGAAACTTCAATGCCCCGATGGGGTCCATTAAATAGAACTGTGTCCTTGCAAACTAGTGGATGCTGCTGCCAAGTGCAAACAGGATGTCCTGAACAACATGCTGAGTAATTACACAGGACCTAGACCTAGAACCTAGAAACGGCATCCCTTCAGTGCATGCTTGAAAGGGGTGAGGTGTCATGCACCTAGCAGCCCTGTACATCATATGTATTAATGTATAAATTTGCACTCCCTACCAACAGCTCACCCGGAAATCCTCTGCTGCAATTTCAGAAGCACCGAAATATTTGGGACGGTCATCAACCGGACCTGGTCCCCTTGATATACAGAAAGCCCTTGAAGTGTTCCATGTCCGAAGACCAGAAGTGTAAGACAACTGCAGCTCTCTGCAGCTGTGCTTCAGATCCTCCACGTTCTCTTTGGCCGCCGGCTCCTGGCCGGTTCCGGAACCGAGGCCGGTTCGTTCGGAGTGGTCGAAGTGTCTTCGCCACAGCGAGAAGGAGGCATGTGTTGCATATTGGGTCTATCCCAATGCCTGTAACAGTGGATGATGACGGTTAGGTTGCAGGCCATGTTCAAAAATAGTGATATGATAATATATGATAATATGTGATAAGTGTTTACTGACTGTTGCAGGCAATAGGACAGAACCCATATATAGTATCTGAACATATCTGAACTTAGTATCTGAACTTAGCCTTCATGGTGGACGTCTTCGGGAATCACCGTCTTTGTGCAGTGAAGCTGTAAAAGACTGCCTTTATATGCATTGATGTTCCACACCAGTACATTCAACTGCAGGGTCCCCTTTACTATTCGTCTGTCAAATAACTTCCACCGGCGATGGAAGTCAAAGCAGGCAAATCTGTGGGCACAAAAACCGGCCTTGCAATCCCAAGAGGATTCCGTGTAAGCAAAAAATCGCCATTTGGTGCTTTGTTGGATGTTTTTTCTTTTTTTTTTGTATAGATCCTATTTTTGCCACCATGGATCGTCTGGCATTGAACACGTCTCCCAGTTTTACCGGTACCAGTGGTTGACCCCACCAAACGGTCCCTTCCTCCCCGCGCGTCTCCACGTGAAAGCTTTTGACGACTAAAACACCCGGCAACCACCGCTCAACGAACAGCAGTGTTTTTGGATGTTTTTGGTATACGCCACATGAAACATGCAATACTGCATGCAATATACTGTATACATGCACGATCCGGCCGATCGCTTCAGAATCGCTGCGCCTCCTTGAGTTCTTGGAGCAGCTCCGCTTCAAAGCCAACCAGGTCGATGGCCTCCACCAGATCTGGAATCTTCACCCCTGCGAGGGCAATGTCAAGATGCGCCCCGTGGTGAATCAACCGTGGTCAACCGTGGGATATCAAGAGATTCAACGTTAAGAAAATGTAGAAAGAGTGCTCTTGGAATATCGGAATATCTGAGTGTCAAGATGAAGAACCCTTTGATCAAAGTGGTGGAAGTAGGGATCCTATCCTGGACATGCCAGTTCATTTGTTGAGTACGGTGTCTTGGCCTTTATTTTGTGGCCACTACTGAATTCTGAAGGCGGCAACAACTGACCCACTGTTGTTGCACCTCCATATTCGCAGCTGCAGAACAAGCAGATATAAATCTGTGGAGAGGAGGATCATGGAGGATCAAGCTTGTATTGAAGTTTCTGAAGACTAAGACCAAAGGATTTGAACCTGCATGGGAACCACATGACTCCAGGAATGTCTGAGTCAATCTTCAAAGATTTGGTGCTTTGGCAAAACACGCCGCTAGTCCAGGGCTCATCCCTATGCATTGCACACGCCACTAGGCTCATAGGATTACATAGGGCCGGGGGGCCTTGTCATGAGCACAATCGATCCACGCACCTTGGTGTTTGACTTCTGCTCGCTTGGTGAGAAGGTTGACCTTGATTGCGGAGCGGAGGGCTTCCTTGGGGAAGTTCCATCGGAACGACCGGAGCAGACATCCACATAAAATAAATAAGTTCACACTGCACACACTGCAGATGTCCCCTCTCATCGGTTGCCATCCACGAGATCGAGCTTGCGGACTTGCCATCCATCAGCCCCCCCATGTTATTCATTGGCATTGCGACGTCCAACCGCCTCAAAAATGCTCCAAAATGCTTTGGTCCCTCCGATTCTGGGGTGAAAACCCTCCTTTCGAAGAACCATCCCTCCATCCGAGCGGAGGCGACGCTGCCGAGTTCTGAGCGGCTGCTGCAGATGTCACACCGGCGACGCTTTGGAGCGCATTCTCGACCACTCCCACACAGGCAGCGCAGGTCATGCCTCGTGAACCCACTGCGCTGGGCCATGCAAGGGCCGTGTTCACAAGCAAATCTCCACAATGGAACAACCAAAGTCAAAAGCACTTCAAAATCGCTACACCAACAACATGGTCCCCTTCCTCCGAAATTGGCGAACCCAAAATCGTTGCTCAGATCATACAAACGTGATGAAATATTGAGACTGTATATGTGGTTTTTGTTGCGGCATGTGTTCCGGAATTTTGCTTAGTCTAGAGACTGGTAATTGCACAACCTTTCTTGGTCCGTAAACATCTTCTGCCGAAGTAAAAGCGCTGCACTCCTTCCACTTGAAGGACGGCAACATGTTGGGGAGCCTCCCGCAGCTTGCTCAGATGAGACAAGGAAACAATTCAAGCATTGGACTTAAGGTCGGGCCGAAGACCAAGATAGACCAAGCACACCAAAGCAAATGAAGGCACCCGTTCTGCTGTCTTTGGCACATTGTATGGGAGCATTTACTTTGCGCCAACATTAATTCGGAAACTCAATTTCAAGAGCGACAGTGGGCTTCTGGCAAGCTTCTCAGAAAACATATTGGCATGGAGGAAATCAGGAATAGGAATAGGGAACAGGAATTCTTGGACGGGACCCGTGCGTGCACCATCATGCTGAAAAGGCAAGCTCTACCTACTATATAAGTCCAGCGTCTTGGCAATAGCTTTCAAGAGCGCCTCCGTGATTGCTCGGCCTCTTTTAACTTGTAGTGTCGTCTTCAAGCTTCATCCTTGCACTGGTTCCTGCGTCGCCTCAAGCACCACCTCCTTCTGCAAGCAAGCAGGAAGGCCGGCGCAGCAAAGTGCATTGACCAGCCTGAGGTGAGACGGGGTTTGCGAAACCGCGATCGGGCGGCGAACCCCGTTAAGGCCCAGGTTGGAGGAACTGATTGTATTATGCCTTCTGACTTCAGTTGTGCAGAACACACCTGCAGCAGGCACAGTCCTTCACAATTAGGAACGACTGTGCTGCTTACTTGGCAATCTGATCTTCAGTTGTGCATGAACGACTCTCAACTGCTTCCACATGGATCACAGCAAAGAACCCTCATCTACGAGACTTGTACTTTCGTGGGGGCACCAACTGGCACCCAAATGCAGCTTTTCACCCACAGTACACCTTACACCGCTCCCCCGCCCCCTCCCAAAAACCATGACCAAAGGAGGTTTTGCTTACTTTGACAAGCCGGAGCGCACGCCCGCAACCAACCACGGCATCGTGCGGCGGAAAGAAACCGTTCCCTTCTCATGGACATGATCTCCCACCGGTCTCCACCGAGGCGCTTTTCCGGAGCATCCGACATCTCCACCTGGTCCGGGACCGGGCGCCGGCGACGACGGGCGGCGCCGGGGTTGGCGGGGTCGGCCGGAACCGTGCCTCGATGGTGCTGAGTGGCTCGTTGAAGGCGCTCAGCTCGGCACCTGGCGACATGTTGAGGTTGGAATTGGATAGTCTGGTCTGCTCGACGAAAAATGCCGGCAGTGTTTCACTGCCTAAAATTTTAAAAACATCTGATGCTTCTGCCTATGTTGCATGAGGTGGTTTGAGGCGATGGATTCCCACCAGAACACTTGGTCAGGCGATGCATCCAAAAGACATCGTCTCTAATTGCCATAATGTCAACATAGGATTAAGAACCCCCCCTATTAATCAATCCCAGCTCGACCCCCCCAATATTAAACTAATTTGATCTATGGATTTCCCCCTTGGCATCACCCTAATATTTTTTTTCCTGTGCAAAAACCTCCCCCTATTAATCAATCCCAGCTGCCCCCCAAAAAATAGAAATATTGTTTACTATTTATTTATAGTTTTTTTATGTTACATTCTTTTAGCTAGTCTCCAATGAACTTTATATGTTTATTTAAAAAAATAGTCTTTTTTGCTAGTATTCAATATCTTCATCTCCTCATCTTCCTGATTCTCACCACCACCTTTCCTCAGATCCGTTTGATGGCTTCTCCTCAGGTCTCATGCTACCAACCATCCCCCAAAACACCAAAAACTCTCTAGCAAAAGTCCTTCATTTTCCCTTATTAAACTCTATCAAATCTTAACTTTTTCAAGCTCAAAAAGGGTACCCCACACAGAGGCCTTACCCCCCCAATAGTAGGACCACCTCCCCTATTAATCAATCCCAGCTGCCCCAGAAAAAAATATTATATACTTACTTTGTATTTGTAATTCTTTATTGTTCTCTTTTTTGCTAGTATTCAATATCTTCATCTCCTCATCCAACCCTTCCAACCCTTTCATCTCAATTCTTCCAAATACTAATTCCCTTTCAGCCCAATTATTCCAAATACTAACCAATTCCCTTTCATTCCAATTCTTCCAAATCAAATTCGTTTTCATCATCAGGTCATCAGCTTTATTAGGGGGATGTGATCTCTCAAAC